ATAATATTTTTAATTATAATGAGCCCCATCCACTATCCTTAACCATGACAATTAAAAAGTTCACTTGTGTTAAAATATCAGTTATTCGGATCTAATGACCTAATTTCATGATGACAAATGCTCGCTTTGATCCTTTTTGATCTTTACATACATATAAGCCCCTCCCTGGCTCCTGCCTTTTATAAAAGTAGATGTGTCCATTCAGTCCTGAGTGACACTCACAGCTTCTGCCTTTACCTCCTGGAATCACCTTCCATCTTTTACTGACTGCAACCTCCATTGGCTGCATCTCAAACAACTCAGCAGTGAGGCCCTCTGTGATTGGCTGTTACATGGCTCAGTGGGCGGTACACAAGGTTGCAATTGGCTGCCTCTGTCTCAGGCCATATCATAAGGATCTGTCCCGAGGGACATGAAGAATCTGGGTTACTCGACAGAATGGGATCGGATGTATGCAAAGGACGGAGCTCTGCACTGTAAAGATTACAGTAATAATTCAGCACCATTATTAGCTGCTAGGGAGCACTTCACAAACATACATAAAGACAAAAGTAATCACAGTGTTATTTTTATTCATGAATAACATCTGCATATATGAATGCAAACATTTTATTTTTCAAAGTAATGTTCGTTATGATTTCAAATCAGATTTTTCAGACATTATGAATTAATAAACTCTATCACAGATGATGTCTACATAGCTATGAATAACTATGTTTATTACAATAAATAAATACTTCCAATAATAAATCCAGACAATACGATGGTGAATCAGATGAAGTTGTGCTGTGGGTCAGCCAGAGGTCAGTGTTTCTCTCACTCCCTGCAGGCAATGCACAATTAGATAGAATAGGAGAGAATTGACTAAAGCAGTAAGATAAGTGACTTCCTGTGCTGGAATAATAAATAAATTGTATGTGCATCTGTACAAAGCAGATTAAACTTGTTTCACTTAAAAAGGTTGGACCGCTGTCAGGTCGCCTTAATAATACTAAATCACCATTGTATTTATTGTAATGCACATATATTGTAGTACAGTGTGCACATTTAACATTTACATTCTTAAGCTTATACATATTTTTATACATATTTTTATTTTTATATTCGGGATTGTTGGAAACGGTATTTCAATCTCTCTCTCTGTACACACAAACTGGAAGATTGACAATAAAGTTGACTTTGACTTTGACTTATTTAAATAACTGTTTTCTATTTTATTCTATTTTATGTTACTGCACATTTCACTGTAACATCTTATGTTTATCTAATTATCTTAATTTTTTATATATATTTCGCTCATACTTATTCTAACTACTTTCCTTATAAAATATGTATTTTTCAATTTTTGTTTATTTTATTAATTGAATTCCAAAATGATTGATTCTGATCCCTATTATTATACAAACCTGACTCACTTGTTTGTTATTGTGGGTTTACTGTCACATGGAACTGGATTAATCATTGGATGCATCTCATAAGGTGTTTTTATATTGCCCATTGCCAATATAATGAACACAAAAGTCATTCAATTAAAGAGAGGATTTTGTAGGTTTATGCATGGAAAGGGAGGATATGAGAAATAGAGTAAAGGCGGCTTTCAAAAATAAGAAACTGAAAGGTGAGATTTAAGTGAGTCAGATGTGAAAAGTACGGTGGCTGAGAGGTGCAATCGACAATTACAAAGTGTGAAACACTTTAACAAAGCTTGAGACAAATTTACATTTTATAAAACAAATGTACATTTTATAAAACAAATTTACATTTTATAAAACAAAATTACATTAGCAAAACACTTTTACCAAAGAAAAAACAATTGAACATTAACAAAAACAAATTAACAAGATGCAAAACACTTTAACATTTGCCTAAACACTTTAACATTTGCCGAAACACTTTAACATTTCCCGAAACACTTAAACAAACTAGAGAATCAAACCGGAAAGGGAATGCCCATCATACCAGAAGTGACGTATCCCTCAACAAATATAGCAGAATACATGAATGATTGTACTCAGGAGGGGAGTTTGACAGAGTATTACTCAAAAAGTACACAGTAAAAGTACTTCATTGTATTTGTGGTTGTAGTCTAACAAGTACTGAGTCCAACAGTACCAATTTTATTAAGAACTTATGGCTAAAAATCATTTTATCTCTCATCAAATATAGCAGAAGTGGCTTGAATTTGTTCTCAGGAGGGGAGTTTGACAGAGAATAACAGAAAAAGTACACAGTAAAAGTAGTTCATTTTATTGTTGGTAGTAGTCAAACTCGTACTGAGTCCAACAGTGTCAGTTTTATTAAGAACTTATGGTAAAACATATTTTTATCGCAAATATAGCACAAAAACATGCATTATTTTACTCTTGTACTAGCGTCAGTGCCGCTTCTCGGTCGATTACCGTAAGGGCGCGATTAATCGCGCACCCATCTCTTCAAGTCTGTAGAGAGCCCCCCCCCCCTCTCAACCAACTTCCTCCTGACTGCTTTTCTGTTTTGTTTTTTTTATTTTTCTGTTTTGTTTTTGTTTTGTTGTTGTTTTATTGCCTGTCCTTGTTTGTCTACCCTTCCCCAAATGTAAAGCGTCTTTGGGTTTAGAAAAGCGCTATAAAAATAAAATGTATTATTATTATTATTACTCACAAATGAAGAGCTGCTGATTTGACCAAGCAAGCGCGAGAGACGGCTGAGTTGACCGCAGTGTTCCGGTGCACTCAGACAGCACTGAGCACTACATCGAGATTAAGATTAAACACAGTTATTTCATTTGGGAACACACACATATACCTATGGAGTTGGCCAGATGTGTGTAAATTACTGTTCATGGTCATTTGAAAACAAATGCCGGTTTCGGACATTCACAAACACACCGAACACACACACAGAGCGGAACTGAGCACAGCACAAACACACACGTCATGCGCCTTTTAGACCGGACATATCCTTCATAAAACGAGTAATAGGGGGAATAATCGGGCAGTTCGATGTGTGTAGAGGTGTGTGTGTAGAGGTGTGTGTGTGTGTAGAGGTGTGTGTGGCTATAACGAAGCAGCCTGCAGTCGCTCGTTAGCTGTCTAATGAAGGTAAACACAGCGAAGGCTGTGTGTAAAAGGCACAGCTCCACTTCCTACTTGGTGAACCTGTAACTTTCTTGTGTGCACGAGAACGTATTGCGCATGAGAAAGTATATCGTGATGAGCAAAACCATGTCACTTGGCCCAGGTGGTTTCCACAGAACGGACAAAACATGTTTAACGGCCATAAACACACTCGGTCTATCCGCCAAAACAAACTTAAGTTTGTGTCAATCACTTGCACGTCACTTCTGGTATGATGGGCATTCCCTTTCCGGTTTGATTCTCTAGTTTGTTAAAGTGTTTCGGCAAATGTTAAAGTGTTTCGGGAAATGTTAAAGTGTTTCGACACTTGTAAATTTGTCTCTAGCTTTGTAAAAGTGTTTCGCATCTGTTTGTTTTTGTTAATGTTAACCTGTTATGCACCGCCCCCCCGGTACCGGGCGGATAAACGCGTCATTTGCAGGAAACAACGTCTAAAGAATCTTAATATTTAATAAACTATGAATGTGTTATATCCATGTAACGGGAAGAAACTCAGCGAACTGATCTTTTTAATTTTTTTCTCCAAAAAAACCCCACAATGCTAACACTCAGCCTCTGAATTAGCCACGAGCGAAAAAATGTAACCTATCTCTGCACCTAAACTCACTCCTAACTCCCTTATTACTTATCCTAGATGCACAGCCAACCCATTGATTAGCATCAGCTGGAGACACAGGATCTGGGGGTGCCCACCTCAACACTCAGTGATAAACATTTGCGACGCTATAAACAAAAGCGTACATCATAACATGTGGAGCTAGGTAGCTAGAAACGCTAACATGGCTTACCTTGGTCAAAACTGGTCTTCAATGGCATTAAAACGATAAAAAAACGATGCTTTGGCTAAACCTCTCTAAAAAGGTCAAATGTCACTTGTTTTGCATCAATCTTGATACAGGGTACTTATTATATGTTGTACTTTGGATTCCTAAAGCTTTTAGTCTACTAACCCATCATCCAAGGGTAGTTTTCACTATCTGTAAAAAAGAATCTTTGGACGGACACTATAATTTACAGTTTTTTACTATGTAAAATCTGAATTGTCTTTAAAATAAAAAACATCTATATTGATTCTGACACTTCTACATCCAACTCACAGATGTAACCTTGCTTTGATAAAAGAAATTATTCATATAACCCTTTTAGAAGTTAAGTTGTAGTCATTTGTTTTGGGCATGTCATTTTCGAGCCTGAAACATGAAAAACAGGCTTGGTGCTGAACAGGTTAAATAGTTTTTTCTTTGGTAAAAGTGTTTTGCTAATGTAATTTTGTTTTATAAAATGTAATTTTGTTTTATAAAATGTAATTTTGTCTCAAGCTTTGTTAAAGTGTTTCACACTTTGTAATTGTCGATTGCACCTCTCTGCCACCGTAGTAAAGAGAAGGAGCAGATGAACATTATGAGAGTGTGTGTGCCTCTCATTGGATGTCAGAGCTTATGTGTGCATGTTTTAATGGGGAGGGGCCAGCAGAATGGTGTGACAGTGAGGGTTAATCCTCGTCATCAGCGTTCATTCATGAAGCTCATGCATTAATGAGGAGTGGGAGTGTATAAGATGCTGAAGCCCACTGTGCAGAGCGGCAACAGGAGCAGGTATCAAGCTCTGGGCTCTGGCATCCAATCACTGCATAGTGGGTTGGAAGGGGGGGGAATGGGGGGCTCAGAGAGGGCGGGATTAGTGAAAGAGTGGCAGCAGCAGCAGCCTCTGAATGACATTGCAGGGAGTAAAAGAGGGAAAAAATAAAGGAAGGAGACAGAAAGGAAGCATAGAGAATTGGCCTCTTTATCCCTCTGAACTGCATTTCTTGGAGGGGCCGTGTCTGTCTACCAACCCCTCGTTGCATGGACGCTTTGGCACGGATTCTCAGCGGCAGCCCCATCCTCCACCTCCTCTTCCTCCTCCTCTTCCTTCTCTCTGCTTCCTTGTCTCCTCCTCTTCTGCTGTCTGAATGAATGGATGAATGAAGCAGGTAGTCTGATGCTGTGGGCTGAGCTCCTCCATGGCTGCCAGGTTGGTCTCTCCATATAATGCCTTTTCCCGCATCCCTGTGTCCCTGTTGCTCTGTGCTTACAGGAGTGTGTGTGTGCGTGTGTTACTGAGGGAGGGTGTGTCACCTTGCACCATTTTACATCCTACCATGTCTGCTGCATCCGATGGTTAGGCTAGGTTAGAACCACAAGCCCACATCCAGTGATGTACACCCCACACACAGCATGATCATCGTAATGTGTTTCTGTCATGGTGTCTGTGACAGCTGCACCGAGCGGTGAATGCATTGAAATGCATTGAAATGAGATTAAATATAAAAATATATAGGCTGTTATTTCACTACGTGCCCACAGTTAAAGCATGATGATCTAAAATGCAAGATTGAGTCTGATTGGAGGCTTCTGTTATCTACAAGTCTATAGAGTAAATGAAGGATTACATAACTGTAGAGCTTACCGTAGTCAGTCAGCGTTCACTGTGAAGTAAAAACTGACAGTCGTCAATACTGGCATCCCAGCATCCCAGCATGTGCTAACACATGACTATTGATGTCATAATGTTTGCAGGAAGCCCAGATTGACCTCTATAGCTCGGTGCTGTTTATCATTTGACCTTTGACTGGGGGCAGCAATGCAGGGGGAGGAGCTTATCAGTCAGCCCCAGTTCTCCTGGTTAGTTCCCGCGAAAACATGGGGAAGCCATGATGTTCCTGATGTTAGATGAGAAGCTCTTGGAATGGTCTAGGAATGAGCCCCAAGAGAATCTCATTATTCCTATAACTGATTCTGCTATTTCTAGTCTTTAATATGGGTCGAAATGTGAGACACTGGAGCGTATTCACAAAGGATGGATTACTTCCGCTGATAGCACCATGAATTGTGCATCATTGAAAACCACTATCTGCCCCATCTCAAGGTCCGATTCACAAAAGACATTGCAATTATGACATTGCAGTGCAAACACTTAGCAGAATACAATTCCAGAGTTGATTACAATTTTCAAATTGTATGCGCTTGGTGCAATTCTCCATGTGAAATGTATAAATGTTCGCAGATAAGTGTAGGCAGAGAGAATTTATATTTTTGTATTTTTAGTATACATGATACAGGTCCTGTCTGCCAATGTGAAGAGGCATTCCTCCAAAATGCCGGCAAGGATGTTATATTTAACAGGAAGAAATTGTATTTGGGATTGAAAATCCCAGTGTGTCATGTGTGCTTCAGTTACCATAAACTCTATTAACACACTAATCATTGCACTGTAACCTCACATGGCTATTAGCACTGATCTTTGGGAAATGGAGTTTTGCAGTGACGCTTATTTGCCAATTTCTGCCAAATGTCCTAATCTGAATATGTACGAATATCACAGGAGCACAGACATGTTATTTACTTGGCAGCGCAGTTAGGGGTGCATACCAACATTTGCCAGTGCGTACAGTTTATTACTGCCAAAGCCATACATCCGTTTGTGTATTTGTATTAGCGTTGTTTAGACCTGCACTACAGTAACAGTACTAGTACTGTACCTCTATGGTTGCCTATAATATGTAGTATATGTGCTCATCAATACTAGTTAAGCAAAACTGTGATAATGTCTTGTTTATGTGGTCACCTAGTTATTTGTGTCAGAAGTAGGAGAGTTTACTGGGATATTGGAGTAAAGATTCCTCATGCTGTTGCTGTAGTAGAGGCAGCTTGTCTGTATAGCTGCAGGTGTTACAGTTCTTGATGTGTCAGAATTTCATATGTTGTAATTGTTGGAGGATACAATTTTACTAATACATAACAAAATTGCACATTTGAATTGTCCTTAAACTAAAGTGTTCTGAATTTTTGAAGCATTTTATTCTTATTGCGGGTGGTAGTGTTCTGCGTTTAAGAGGTGTTTTTAATCCGTTCTTTGGAAGATGCAATATTTAGCTTTTTTGTATCAGCATAATGGAAAATTAGCTTAAAAGACGGATATTTTTTTTCTTCTCAGGATACGGATGACCCCATAACAGAGCTTAAAGTATAGTGAATTGTGCCCTTACAGGTGGACACTAACATCATGCACCACAAACGAAAACTAATGCTGCTTTGTTCCTGCTGGGTGTGTAAATTAGCAACTGTCTGCTTAAGACTTAATGATGTGACTGATTCAGATAGTATGTCCTCAGTTTGCTCCACTGCCACAAAGAGGCCAAAGATGAATACAGCTGAGAGCTCTTTCATTCTGTTGGCATCAATACTGAATATCAGTTGGTAGATATAAACCCTATAAGGACCAGGTCACAACGATATGTGGGTTAAAGATTTAACTACAGAAGGTATTGAATGTTAAGCACTGATGTATGTAAGGGGAAGCGGTGAAGAACAATCAGGGATGTGGTCTGTTGGCTGGTCTGGAGGACGGACTGAAGTCCAGGCAGAGACGGGGGGGGGGGGGGGTCCTGTCTCGGATATGTTATGAACAAATGGATATAGGGAGGGAGGGATTAAGGGAGGAATGATCATAGGGAAGTAGTTAGGGCTGTAGGGAGGAAGAGATAGGGGAGTATTTGGAGGGAGGAATGAACACTGGACACTTGCAAAACAGAAACGTTAACTTTAATTAAATGAATTATTTCAACAGATTTAACATAACTGTATGAGGTTAGATGAAAGCAATACTATTAAGTTGAACCTAATATATGTTATACAAACTTAATATTATTGCTTTCAACTAACCTAATGTAGTTATGTGAAATCTGTTGACTTAATACATTTAATTAAAGTCAATGTTTCAGTTTTTTCAGTGGATGAATGAATGAAGGGAGGGAGGAATGAAAGGATGTAGGGATGTGGGTAATAATGAAATAGGAAAAATAATGGATGAATTGAAGGGAGAAAGAAGTTGGGTCGTGATAGAGGAGACAAACAATGCCGGATGTGTTGACCTGGTAGCTCAGCATGTTTAGAGGTGTGATTTAGGTGTGGACCTGCTCCCAAACCTCAGTTAACTAAGGTATAAACACTTAGTGGTGACCCTTGCGGATGTCCCATAGCAATTCCAAAATCCAAGCCTCAAAGTGTCTCTCTCTTTTTCAGTACTACCACTGCCACCTCGGACCGGAGCACCCCAGCCTGCTCTCCTGTGCTGCGAAAGCGTTCCCGCGCCTCCACGCCCCAGCTGAGCCCCGATGCTGACAGCAGCATGGTGGAGAAGGGCTCCTCAGACCAGGCCTCGGACCGCTCCCCCACCACTGAGCAGACCATCCAGCACCAACGCTCCACCTCCCAGGCCCTCCACCCCACCAACAGCAGCAGCCGCAGCGGGGGCAAGAACTCCAAGGTGAGCAGACAGAGGCGGACATTGGCTTAACAAAGATGTGCTTTCATTTGCTGACACAAAGCATTACTCCAAGTCAAGAGAGGTTGGCATTACTGCAACAATATTGTCATTACTTTTGAGCTAATACTAGAAGTATTCACTTAAAGTAACAAAGTAAATAGGTCATTGCTACAGTGCATTGATTATGGTGATTTAGGTGTAGATTGATGGTACAAAATGAAACTCATAATGATCTTACATGCAGATTATCTACCAAGGGTTGACATGGGGGGTTTAATTGACTGTATGTGTTCCTGTTGATGTCAAAGGTATACCACTTGTTTAAGGGAACCAGGATCCACAATGTTAACACATACAGATGGGCAAGATGGGCATGGATAAAGAAACGTTGCCCCTGTAAAATCTATAAGAAATAATATATTTTGGCACTACCATTTAAACATGGAAACAATATCTATAGTAAAATGTTGTATCCAAAACACAAAACTTAGTAAGATCATAATCTGAATTGGCTGGTGCTGGTTGATTTGCTTGTTGGTTGAATAAGAACGTGTTGTGTTTGTTGGTATGAACTGGCAAAGCTGGATAGCCTTACTTCTCTATATGAGCCTCACTCAGACACACTTAGTATGCTGAACTGTTCACAATGTGGATGATAGACAGGGACTTTGGTCACCTTACACAGCATGTACTGTAACAGGAGGAAGGACACAAGTAGTAGATTCTGTGGTTTTTCTTTGTGATGTGCTGTTCTGGACTGTTGTTGAGCTGTTGTTCAGGGGTCGGACTCCGGTAGTGTGGAATGTCAGATCAATGTTGTGCATTTGCATTCAAAATGTAGTGGAGTAGAAGTATAAAGTATCATAAATCGAAAATACTCAGGTAAAGTATTACTATAAATACCTCAAAATCGTATTTAAGTTAAAGTACTTCACTACATGACACTACACTACATGTACAACAACATCAGAGACCGAATACTGTAGAGCTGTAGAATCCGCCAATAATATGGTTAGATAATCAGGATGTATACAGCCTGTTATCCTATGTGACTCTGAGTATTTGAACCATCAATTATCACATGTCATCTTTCTGTAAGTTCTCACTTGTAGTGTGTCCTTTAGGATTTAGCTCACTGCAGCAGTAAACACACTGCTGGATTCATGCAGATAGCCATGATACAAAGGTCTATAACTATGATCTAAATCATCAAATCACAATAAGGATTTCCAACAATTGTTCATATCATTATCTAGAAATCATTGCTTATCTTGGAAACATCCTCAGATATTATAGAAACACAGCATCATGGCCCTCTTGTGGTCCAAACATAATCTGTTTCTGAATAGCACATTGGGATACTAGGTTTTACTATTATTTGAAATATTGTATTGTACCGCATACAGAACTTTAATGAGCTTCCTCTCTTATCATATATTAGCTGAGGTGAAGTATCAGACTAACACTTTGAAAACCAAAATTGCTGTCATGTAATGCTTCTTCTGTGAGTAATGTAAAACAACTATCTACTTAAAGCTGATTGTTGTCTTTTTAAAGAACAGAACACACCCACATAAACCCAGATTAATATTATTGATCATGACTGCCTAACTAATATACGCAACTGTCATTTTCAATTTAGATTTCCTATCCAAGGACATCACCTTTAGTTCTCTGCCCATTTCTTCTGTCTTGTTTTGTTTTCTTCAAATCTTGCACTGACTTTGAATGTATTAGTTCTTTTGATTACCACATAAAGTCATGGACTCTTTTAATTCATCCTTTTGCCATGTCTCTTTTATGTTTTTGAATCGACTTCTTTCTTTCCTTCTCATGCATGCAATAGTCTCACCAGCGGCATACTAAAGTAAGCACGATTCTTTTCTGGATCTTTTATTTCTCCTGGAACTCATTATGTCTGGGACACACCAGCTGAGCTATCTATCCTACAACTCGAGTTGCCTAAACATGTCTGAATATTGTTTGATTTCTTCTGCTTATTTGAAAGAGTCTGTAACAGAGCTGAAATGTGTCCACCGATCTTTGAATAAGCATTAGTCCCCAAAGTAAAAGTCTACTTAGTTTCCTGCTTCGGCTGTCACTGTTTTAAGCAACTTATACAAGCATTATGTAAGTGTGAGATACAGACAGTGTGTTTTGTACATTTTGATACTGTTGTTTTGTTATTTTTGATGATTCCTACAAATGAAAAGGCCTTTTGGGTCGGTGTATGTGAGTCCTGTTTTGGGATAAGGATGCATGTTTACATTTTTTCTTTGTCCCTGAATATAATAACTGGAAGAAATGCACATGTTTGCGTTTATTTGTGCAAGGTAACACTGCCTCCTTGTGGCACATATGTGTAATTGGTTAGGATATTATAAAGACCCAATCTCACTAGTAAACAACTGGATGTATTAGTCAAGCTTTAAACTCTGTAAGTCCAACTCTATTATCTGCTTTAAGGAAGCTCGGGTAGACGTTTGAAATGTCATTTTGAGACCTATTATTGACCTCTAAAGTACTTTGCATTAATGACACTGTTGAGAATGTGTTGCTATGAATGATTGTATTAATGAAGTTCTTCCTCTTTCTCTTTTTCTCTTCTCCTTTCCCCAACACCTCCACCATGCTTCCCTGTGACAACAGAAAAGTCCGAGCTGGTACAATGTAAGTTCCTTTGTTTCTTCTACTGTCAACCTTTTTCTGATGTGATGTTTTTTATTATCATATGGTATTAGAGACACATGCGTTTAGAGCACATCTCCATGCTTTAATGTTCAAAAAGCTCTTTATCTCTCTCATACTGTCTGTGCTGCAGCACCTCTTTTCACCCTCTGTCTGAAACCAGAGCCCAGTCTGCTCGGATTGGTTAGCTGGCCGGCTCTGTTGTGATTGGTCAACCGCTTAGAGATGTCCCGCACCTTAGCCTATCACGTACAATATGTTGCGCTAGCCAATAGAAGCGCAATTGTTACATAGTGATGTCATTATGTTATGGAAGTAAACAAAGGAGTGTAATGGAGGTGTTTCAGGGGGTGGGAGAAACACTTCTAGCCTTTGCAGACCATTCACATGCACACAAACCTATATAACACACTATGGGAAAGAGAAACACCCAACTGGCTGTTGGCATGATGAGTTGTGCATTTCCCCTTTCAGAGAAGGCCAAAGTAGGGTGGAAATGAATGATAAGATACAGAGAATAATAGAATCAGCATTTTGAAACAGAGACAACCTGTTATATTTTGGTTGTGTATTTAGTTTTTTACAGTTATCACACAAAGCTGTAGCAGGATTTCATCCAGATAATAGGTTGCTTTGCTTTCATTCCCAGTAAAAAGACGTTTGCTTGTGATGTTTTCCCCTAGTGTGTGAATCTTTCTTCATAATTAGTGCGTACTTCTGTGTGTGTCTGTCGCTGGCCACACTGTATTTGTGTGTGGGAGACATTTTCTCAGGCTTCCATTCTGTGCCTGGGTCATAGTTCACCCAGCCTGTGTTCGGCCTCAGCAGAAAATCCACACAAAACGGACAAAAAGCGACATTGTACAGCTGACCAGTGTCAAACTGCAGCTGACTGAGGCAGAACGGTCTGTGTCTCACAGTGTGTCTCTTTCTCTGCAGCATGTGGGACATGTTTGCTCTTTTTTATTACTGTTACCCTTAGTTGCCCTTTCCCTTGAGACCAGTTGAATGGGGGTATGGGCTCAGAGTCTTCAGGCTAATTGCTGTTGATAATGCAGTCCTTTATTCAAAGACACGGTTGCCCATAACGTTGGAATCATTTAGTTTTCAGACAAATTCCTCTCTTTAATTCCCATTTCATTTTCACTGTGATATGTTTGGAAGAGGTTGATTAATAACGTCTCAAGATTGAATAAATCACATTGTGACAATCATTTCATGAGAAGAGGTACAAAATAGGAAACTCCGTCTGGAGGGATTTTTGTATTTGTAGACCTAAATGCACATAAACCTATATAACACACTACAGGAAAGGGACAATTACAAAAAGCACAATAGGGCCTCTTTAAGAGTGTTTGCTTTTGTAAGAATAGAAAGAACCACAATCCATATACCTGCTACTGGACAAGATGTATCAATGTCCAGTTCACTGAGGCCCAGGCTAGTAGTTTGTTTACCAAAACATAGCAGAACAATCTTTTTATACTGCAATGGTGAAAAGTTGTCAGCTTTCAAATTGAGCTAAAGGAATCTCCAGTTTAATCGCAGGAAGAATGATGAGTACAATGTTACAGCAACATCTGCAAGGAGGAACAGACAGCCTCAATGTGCTTAATGATACATTGATATGAGTCACCCTAATCAATGGGGGATTACAGGAGGCACTTATAATTCTATTGTATTCAAGCTTTGAAAGTAACTTTGGCTTGTGTAAAATGTTTCCCTTTACGGTCTCCATGACATTAACTTTATTATTTACTGAAAATATGATTTAGCATCAACATAAAGCCACCAGTCATGACGTATTTTTATCAACATAATGTGGAGTTTCATCATTTTTTCAACCTAAAATATAACACAACATTGTATTTTCTAAGTTTTCCCACAATATCAGAATTCCCTACAACTAAAGGCCGCTACACACCCACCTGAGACCAAAGAACGCGTACTGAAGGCGTCCCGACTTTTCCCGACTTTTACGTCAGCTACGTCGCTGCGTCGGCTACGCCGCCCGCCTACGCCGCCCGCCACGAACACACCGCAAATACTTCAGTCGACGAGTGGCAATAACTGTCCTTACTAGCAGGCAGCGGTAGTGTGAACAGCCAATCAGAGTGATTGCTTGTCCCGACTTTCTCTGACCTCCCGCGGCCGATTCAACATGTTGAATCGGCCGCGGGAGGTCAGAGAAAGTCGGAGGCCGCGGGAGGTGTGAAAAGGTGCCGTAAAGAGACGACGGTGCGGGACACACCAACCTGAGTAGGGCGCCGCGAATGCCCGACTGCCCTGACGACCTCTGACGGCCTCTGACTCCCAAAATCGGGCTGGTGTGTCCGGGCCTTAAAACATCACCTTTATATGGTTTTCACACACACACACACACACACACACACACACACACACACACACACACACACACACACACACACACACACACACGGAGGAAGTGCATTGATTCCTACACTTCCTGTTGTTTTGGTTGTCGTTGGACACAGTCGGCTTTATACTGACAGGCCAAAGGAGTATTTGGGGGGGAAAAAAGAATAAACAGGAGAGTAGTGAAACTTAACATCTAATGTAGAACCATGGGCAATGGTAAACAAATACTCATAAGCACACACACACACACACTCTCCAGATGAACTTGAGTAAACCCAGACCCTCCTAGGACCAATAACACACTCACTCTGGCTCCTCCTGTTTCCAAACCCTCAGCGCTGTCACACAGCTCAGTCTGAGGAGGAATCTCAGGATTATGTATCCACATGTTGCTCCAGTCGTACCTCTTCTTTTTTCTATAAGTTGTTTTTAAGTTGGACATCAGAAGTGTGTGTGGAGTTATGGTGCGGATGGACTAACGTGAAGAAGAGAACTTTCTGCACAGAGAGAAGAGTTCCTCCTGCAGCCAGGCTGTTCCTTGGAGTTGTGATCTGATGATAATGATCTACAATTTGTGAGATCCAGCAGAACATCATGGACAAAGAACCTCCTGCCTTATTCTGAGACGACCATCAATGGTTTTGGAATGAATTGACTTCATAATACTTCATCATCTTTTACAAAGTCTACTTCTTCCTTTTGAATACTTGAGCCTCTTCCTGAGAACATATGTTGGGTTTGTGTGCAACATGAAGAATGCACATTAAAAAAGGATAGTATAAAAAGGGGGTCGTCATTTTGCTTTCTATCCTGAAATCAATAATACATTGTTGCAACAGTTAAACTCTCAAGCTGTTGCTGCTGCAGACAGAACATGAGTGTGTGACCGGAGTGTGTGTGTGTGTGTGTGTGTGTGTATGGACTCGATCCACTGCTTTTGATACCTGTAAACAGAACAATATGAAGGAAAGGAAAGCAGACACAGATAAAACAAGTTGCCAAAAGGACAATAACTCGAGACAAGACAAAAGGAGAATAAAAAGAAGGACGATGACTCCAGTGCAGACTCAGAGTGTATCAGCCCTGGACTCAGACTGGGACAGAGACTCAGAGTGTGAGGCGGGGGGGCCGGCCCAGTGGCAGCAGTGGGACTGGGCCTCAGAGCGGGTCCCTGCTGTAAGTCAATGGATCACAATCAAAAATTAGAAGGGCTGGTGAAAAATATGTCATTTGTAAAAAGTGAATGTATTGAAAATCTGTGGCGTAGTTTTTAAAAATGGTGTCAAATTTGACCAAAGGTTACCTCAACTTCTGGCAGTTTGAATTCAGAACAAGTAATGAGTCTCATATTATGCAAATGTTTAGAATTCAGCTCTTTCTCTCGGCCTAGGTGCCTCTGACTGATAGGTGCAGTTTTACTGTTAGAAGCAGCAGGTTCATGCTTTGCTTTGATCAGACTTGTTGATGAATTGCAGATTTTATCTCAGGAAGGACCAGTCTATTATAGTCCTTTTTGAATATATTACATTACATGTTACTTGTTAGACGCTTTCATCCAAAGCGACTTACATACTCAATACTGTGGACAATCCCCACAGGAGCAATTTGGGGTGAAGTGTCTCAGGGACACAACGACATGCTGACTGCAGTGGGGTTTGAACCTGTGATCCCAACACCAAGGCTCTACCCACTGCGCCACACGCCTCCCTATCCATAGTGTGATTAGGTCAAACTGGGGGAGACAAAGTGCACTTGAGGCTTCTGGGAATTTCAATTAATGTATTGTCCTGATGATGACACAAAAAAAAAATAGGCCAATCACAACAGTCCTCAAAGACCATAAGTTATTGACGCAAGATCGAAAAGTCCAGCAGGATACATCATCTGGGGACCATGAGTGTACATTTCAATCCATTCAACATTTGTTTACTAGAAAATTGCCATGAGTGCCATTAGTCCCATTGTTTGCACTGTAGGAGTATATGATATGTATACACTGTGAGTATATAAACATGTTTTTTGTCTCCGTAGGTATTGAGTCCAACCTACAAGCAGCGCAATGAGGACTTCAGGAAGCTCTTCAAGCAGCTGCCGGACACTGAACGCCTCATCGTGGGTGAGTCTGAAGCAGGCATCAAACTGCGTCAGGGTCGCTATAATGAGTCAGGGTTCTATAATGAATAGAAGTTCAACAATATCACATTATCAATACATTATCAAAAGAAGAAATCGAAAAATATATATATATAGTTTGAAGATAAAATAGTTTTAAGGGAATTTTACTGTTTTGCCACTTCTCTAAAAAGATAAATCTGCCCAGAATTCATCTAAAATGGCTTGTTTTACACAGACCTACTGCATTCAATACCTGGCTTTACTTTAAAGTGTGTAAGTTGTTATGTTTTATTGCTATGCATTGAACATAATATGGAGTATTCATGAAACTATGTCACCACGTCAGGGTTTGTATCTACTTAAGGGTCCTTTGAGGCAAAAGGTTGGGAACTTGTGGTCTATCAAATAATGTTATCACGTCCCATAGGCTTAAACCAATTGAGAGAAACTAAGCAAAGGGGGTGGTGGGGGGTGGGTGAGGGAGCATATTTCTACAAACTTTGTCTGAGAGGCTTACAGTCTTTGAAAGTGCTCGTCTGCACATGCACTGATATGCATGCATACACTCAAATGTACTTTAATAGCAAAGATGACAAATATTTAAAAAGTGTTGCTCCCATGGCCTCAACTGCTGACATCCTGCCTTCATCCTTTCCACATGACCTCTTAGTCAATAACATTATCCTTTGCTTTTCAATGCTATGGACTCGTGATGGCGCTCCCATGCTCCCTAAGCTCCCAGCTCAATGGTAGAGGTCTGTTTTAAAACACAGTTGTCTTTCGTTGACCTTTGACCTTTAACTCCTTCCAGACTACTCCTGTGCCCTGCAGCGAGACATCCTCCTGCAGGGACGCCTCTACCTCTCAGAGAACTGGATTTGTTTCTACAGCAACATCTTCCGATGGGAAACTCTGGTGAGGACACGCCTCTCACTTTTCATATCGAGCTCGTATGGGGCCGTACAATACTCTCAAGACTGGGTTGGAAAATATTGGTATTGACTTTGTTTTGGCCATAAACACGAAAACAAATCCTAGATCATTTGTTTCACAAAAATATATTTTTATCACAATTTCAACATAAGCATGCAGCACTTTTCCTCTGTCCATTTTTTACTGTATATAATTAAGGATGAGTCTTAAAACATATATTATTGCTTTGGAGGAGAGACACATGTTGGTATAAAAATTATTCAACACAGAGACACATGATTAGAGCTTAGAAAAGTGACTTTTTCTCTCTTTGGTAAGAGGTATTAACTTATACATGATATCTGCTCTTTCCTCTCAAGCTGATGGTGCGACTGAAGGACATCTGCTCCATGACCAAGGAGAAGACGGCCCGCCTCATCCCCAACGCCATCCAGCTCTGCACCGACAACGACAAGGTACTTCCTCATCCATACCTTTATTTAGTGGGAATGCTGATACAGCATTCCAACTATATGTTATGCTACGGACAAAAAGTTTATTATTATTATTCCGCCGACTTATTTTGGCCCTCTTCTCCTCCCACATTCAACATCGCAGAAACTCCGTTCAAACATCAAAACTTTCAGCTCGGTCGGGAATCGCAGGCTATTACTTTTCTCATTCATAACTTTCATAATTCCAGAGATACATCCCATAATTCATCAAATGTTTAACCATTGAAGTCAATGGAGATATTCTTCAGACTTCAACAAATCTTCATGCGACTTCAACTGCTAACTGTTCATTCATACTTTCACTCAGAAACCTCATTCCAACTTTAAAATGTTACACATCTTTCTGACATTATTCGTGTAACACAACTTTTAAATCTGATTCTTACTTTTAGAGATATTAAACATTGTTCAGACCTTGTTAAAGAGGTTTTCTTCAGAATTGAACATTAACTAGAGTGCGTGATGTCACAGCTAGAGTGGAGCAAATCTTGAAATATATCTTTTTTTTAAACTGCCATAATTCCCAAACCCTACATTCCTGAGACATAATTTTTCATGACAAACGTAGGAAAACATCTCGTAGCTTGAAAAATGACAAATAATTAAGCAAAAATAATTAAACAAAATGCCTCTTGAGGGCATGAAGTGACAAAAACGTTCAACATGTCTCCATTAAAACCCATTGTAATTTCAGGCTGATATTTCCTCACAGCAGCACACCTTTAGTTAAACTGTCAAAAAGGCCATATTATTAACCCGAAAGTACACAAAAATTACACTTCAGATACTCAACTTCCTTGACATGCTTCACGTTTTGAAATTTCACAGATATCTGTTATCGTTCTTCCACAAAACGTTCACATGTAAGAGGTTTATCTCTCATTCAGAACAATGCAAACCTTTGATCTCTTCAGAGCTCGTTAGCTCAACTATAAACACCAGTGTAATGGAACACGATGATGTCATCACTCCAACTGACAGCAGTCAGTTCTAACTGTTCATTTCATACTCACACACACACACTCTCTCTCTCTCTCTCACAAACTCTCTCTCTCTCTCTCTCTCTCTCTCTCTGTCTCTCTCTCTCTCTCTCTCTCTCTCTCTCTCTCTCTCTCTGCCACACACACACACAGACACACACACTCTCTCTCTCTCTCTCTCTCTCTCTCTCTCTCTCTCTCTCTCTCTCTCTCTCTCTCTCTCTCTCTCTCTCTCTCACACACAATGTTCCAAACGGCCCAAAACTTCACAGGTTTGGTAACGATGCAGCCATAAACGCATCTAAGCTTAGTATGGGGTGTCATCAAATGCCGTTGCCATGGCGACAGACCACCCGCCATGAAACACGATGTCGCTGTAAGTCCAATGGACACGGTCCAATCGTCCCCCAATCTTCACTTGTATATCACCGGTACATGCCTCAACAGCTCTACGCCAAATCTGAACTCTCACCATATGCCGTTTCCATGGAAACGCATCCCTCGCCATAAAACACGATGTCCCTTTAACTCCTATGAAAATGTTCAAAAAGTGCTCAAAATTCACATGTGTGCTAACAGTCCAGCCGTGAAGACATCTACGGGACAGTTTTGAGATTTCTTCAAATGCCGTTGCCATGGCAACACAATGCTCGCCATGAAACACGGTCTTCTCATAACTTCAGTGAAAATGCTTCAAACAGCCCAAAACTTCCCAGGTTTGGTAACGATGCAGCCATCAACGCATATAAGCGTATTATGGGGTGTCATCAAATGCCGTTGCCATGGCGACAGACCACTCGCCATGAAGCACGATGTCGCTGTAAGTCCAATGGAAATGGTCCGATCGTCCCCCAAACTTCGCTTGTATATCACCGGTCCAGCCCTCAACAGCTCTACGTCAATTATGGTGTTTCTTCAAATGCCGTTGCCATGGCAACACAATGCTCGCCATGAAACACGGTTTTCTCATAACTTCAGTGAAAATGTTCCAAACGGCCCAAAACTTCACAGGTTTGGTAACGATGTAGCCATCAACGCATCTAAGCGTATTATGGTGTGTCATCAAATGCCGTTGCCATGGCGACAGATCATTCGCCATCAAGTTAGTTCAAAGGTTTGCAGTTCAAATATTCTGCTGCTTTTCCAAGCCTTTTTACTTTCTTTTCTTCACTCATCACACATTCAAGCCCCCAGTGTTCATGTATCATTTCAATCTAAATTCTTCACTTTCTTTTTACACATTACATTTCAGCATAGCAGTTTAGCGTCAGCTTTTCAGCATAAAGCATTCCCACTAGCAATTTCTTCAGGAATTGCATTCTCTAGTTATTCACTACTGTACAATCTCAGAAAATGCATTTTATATGTAAGAGGCATTCTTACTAATAAAGAATAGGCATTAGCAGTAAAAAGAAGATTTAGCCTTTTGTCAGACAGGTTTTCAGTTTTCCAAATAATACAAATGATAAAAAAACGACTTCTTAAAAATACTTTTCCATTAATTCATCCATCTTTAATCTCACTGTTTACTGTCTGTACTCTTCTTTCAGCACTTTTTCAGCTCTTTCGGGGCGAGGGACCGGACATACATGATGATGTTCAGACTGTGGCAGAACGCTCTCCTGGAGAAGGTGAGACCACCCACACTGTCATTGTTCAGGGGGGCGTGCTGCTAATGTTTATCACTTAAAGGTAGGGTAGGTAAGAATGGAGAAACTAGCTTGAGTGCGCTAGAATTTGAAAATACACAGCCGAAAGAAATCTGCCCCTTCCTTCAGACTTCCTTACAGAGCCCCTCCTCCAACACACACGAACGCGCACATGACCAATGAGGGCACGAGATAAGTTTGTGCACAGATGGAAGGCTGACAGGCAGGTAGGCCATCCAGTTATTTTAGCCGGGCCAGCTCAGATGATTGGTCGTGCTTTTTACAGTACTACGGCTTCCACAGATGACATTTTTTATGGATTTTTTGTCAAAGCATTTAATATATTCATTGCTATCGGGATGTTAAGAGCATTCCGTGGCATATAACAACAAGTGTTTCTGAAGTGGATTACCTACCCCACCTTTAATATATTATAACTCAACCACGTTTCAGTAATTGAGGCTTTGGAAGGGAGAATTGGTTGATATTCAACATTTATGATTTCAAATTCCTCTTCTGCCAAATACCACATGGACCACATTACACCCCTGCACTTTATGTACTATCATACATTGAGATTTTTTTAAATGTTTCATAGTTATCTGCCACCCAAATTCTGTTTTGACAAGCTCAGAGAGTGACATGTATTTCTCTCTCTTCCTCTCCCCTCTCCCTTCTTTCTCAGCCTTTATGTCCCAAAGAGCTGTGGCACTTTGTCCATCAGTGCTATGGTAATGAACTGGGTCTGACCAGTGATGATGAGGACTATGTCCCTCCTGATGAAGACTTCAACACCATGGGGTGAGTTTTAACACAACCATTCAAATATGATGCATCCACCATGTGTTCCATTTCCTGCAGTTATGGTAAGAAAGACTTCTGGTGTAAACACATGTTTATCTTATTATGAACATTACAATTGATTTGAGTCTGACATGACTGCTTTCTTTCTTACTTCTTTAAGTATTAGGGAATGTATTATTATTAATTGGGTGATGTGTTGTGGTAATGGTAATGAGTGATTCACTAAAAGCATACCAAATTGGTAGAAAGAAAAAAGGATAAAGACAAATTGTGTATTTAAATGTGCCATTTGATAACTCCAATGAACTAGGAATCATAGAATTAAGGTTTAAAGTTTAGGAAGATGGTAAAAATATTCTGCAAATTAAACCAATAACCTGTAGTTTTGGTGATACAGAACAAGGGATACATACAAATCAAAAAAACACGGTGATACACAGGTAAGCCGTACTAAGAAATAAGTAGCAGAGTTTCTATGTGTTTTTTTTAATTATTTACAACTGAAATAGTCATCAGAGATCCAAACAGTCAAAATATTTGATGTCCATCTTGCAGGACAATAAGCACATTAAAACCATGACACCCCCATCACACCATGCATGTGTGCAGCCCAGTGCGGGCAGTGTGCAGCAAGCTGGTAACCTTGACCTACAGCTGCTGTCCGTCTCCATGGTGCAGGTACTGTGAGGAGCTTCCTGTGGAGGAGAACATCGAGCAGAGCCACGACACCAGCAACAACCTCAGCAAGAACCCCGAGGCCAAGCCCGATGTGAGCCCCCTCGTGCCTCACAGACCCTTCCCCGAAATCAGCCCCCCGGAGCTGCCCAGCACGGAGCCCCCAGCCCCTGTGAGTCCACGCTCAACTGTGTTCGTACTGTGTGAGATAGCAAACATTGTATCTTTGGGGACTTCTAAAACATACAAGAAAGTTGAAGCTGGCTTCCTGTAGCGATCATTGTACGTACACACAGTGTTAACAAGATACTGTACACATATACCGGATATTAAACACACACAAGTAAATAGCTATTATATACAGCGAAGCCAAATTAAGGAATAGACAAAAAAACATGCATGTAAAGTTGGTGTCTGTGAGACTATACTGACAGTGGAGACTTCTGATTAGAATAATCAGAGCAGTAATTGCTATAAGAGATAATAATGTGGTTGCCTTTTATTTCATAGAAGTCTTGATAAAGCCCTCAAGGAGTCTGAGTGACATAAATAAATAGGATTTTGTAAAACTGTGCCATCATAATGAACCATCATCACACATTACATAAGTTCTCAATGTGTCCTCATTATCGGCGCAATGATGAATGCAAAGCACATGTTCCACTGCTGTACTGTTTGAACAGAATTGATATATACTGCATTACGACACATGAAGGGTTTGCATAAAACATTTGTTATACTATTACATTTCATCAATGTAGATGTATCATGTTGTTAGTTCACATACAGTACATCTTAAGGAAGTGCTTCAAAGGAAAGCGCAGATTACAGTTTACTCATAACGATCAGTATCTTCATAACAGTTGCTCAGCCAATGAATTCTATTGTATCATTTATTCTGTGGGTCTGCTCTATCGCAGTTTGAGAATTGTTACCCTTTTTTAAATGTTGATTTATCTCTTTTGAGTTCCCCAACTTCATGGACTGGAATACTGAACCTTTTTAAATAAGTGTGATGTGCTTTTACTCTTCAGTATCACTGGTTGATCATGTTCTCTTCCCCTGGTCCAGCAGTGTGACCCGGCCCCTGTGGAGGACGTATCCAGCCCCTTACCTGACGCAGACTTCCTGACCCTTCCCCTGCCCGAGAACCTCTGCAACACCGCCCCTTTGCAGCCGCTGGACCTCAACGAGAACGAGGACCTGCCCACCGAATTAAGCGACTCATCCGAGACACATGATGAAGGTGAGTCATTTCACCCTGCCTCGTAAAAAGAAATCAACAATTAACTTCAGACAGTTCATTCCCAGGGGGTTTTTCTCTATCAAAGTCGATTTCTCATATGTCTATCTGATTAGTTTTAACCGTAGTCTCACACAGAAATATTGTTTATGCAGGTGAGGTCCAGGCTTTCCACGAGGACCTGGGTGGCCGGCAGTTCATCAACGAAGTGTACAAGTTTGGTGTGGACAAGATGTATGACTTACTCTTCACTGAGTCTGACTTCATGAGGGACTTTCGGGAGCAGAGGAGGTTCTCAGGTAAAGTCAGGGGCATCTCCACCAGTGTCACGCTATTACATCAAGACAGAATCTGAAGTTACAAAAAAGTCAACAACCTAAACAAAAGGAAGGGCCTCAGTTCTTCATAACAGTTATTAGTTGAAGACTTGTATTCTTAAAATGGATATATCACTGATTTGTACAGAACATTAAACAGGATTGTATATATTAAGATTCTAGATGCATTTAGTGTCTATCTAAAACACAGGGATGCACAATGCAATGCAACTAGTGATCCCTTTACGAAATACAAAATCACAAAACCAAACTTTGTGTAATGAGTACTGAGGATTACTTCAGGGGTATTACTGACTCTGAAATGAAGCTGCTCTCTAGTCTGATGGTTCGACTGCAGAAACGTCTACATTGTTTAGCAGAAGGAAGTGGGGTGAAAGGTTGTTGTTGGTTCTTTAAATATCTCTCTTGGGATTTGAGATAGGCACTAAAGAAAACTATTATCACTATGCCGTGCAGATTGGTCCCAATATACCCTGTCTACCAGGAGCCCTCGTGTCCTGGGCCGTGCACATCCTATGTTTGTAATGTTTCCAGTCAGAATGCTTTTTATTGCCACTCTGTGAAAGTAAAGACGAGAACTTGGCATGGGATTTTTTTATTAAGTTTCCTTGTAAACTGGCGAGTAATGTTAAGGAAATCCACAATCTACAGAATGATCTCCATGTCGGGGTAGAGTTGTGGGTGTGGGTGTGGGTGTGCGGTAGGGGGCTGAACATACAGCCCTTCAGTGCTCTGGTGAGAACAAGAGAAGAAGATTACCAATTCAGACTGACTGGGGTTTGTTTGTGAGGAAACCAATATCCAGTTGCAGAGTTTAGTAGTACTAGTGCTGAGAATGCCAATGGGGAGATACTGTAGTATTACGGTTGTTTTGCTAAAACTGAGCTGAAATAAACAGATTTGATGCCCCTGCATTTTAGCCTGTGATATTCTGGATATTTTCCAACAAATCTTAAGTGATAGCTCCTCAGTCTTTACTAATGCTACCCCTTTCCCTTATTGATGCCAGCTTTCAGTTCCAATCGCTCAATGCTGTATGTTTCTTTGTTGGCTCTGAACAGGGCCGTCTCCGCTTCCCTTATTGTGATGTTGATGGTTGTGTTTCTATCATAGGCAATGGATGCAGCAAAAAGATAACATATTGAAACAAAGATGTTTTAAGAAATACCCCAGATTGCTGGTTATATTTGATTTGATATAACATAATTACTCATTTCAAAAAATGGTCTGCATCAAAATAAGTACCGTAAAAAGTCAAAGTGAAAAATGAAAGAATGCATTGTTAGGGGTGAACTTAAATCTCTTTAAACGACTATAAGGCCTCAGTTTTTCTAAATATGAAATGGCATATTGTGCTCAGTGGTGATGTGAACCGTGATTGAGAAATTGTGACCTTCTATATTTTTGAAGCTGATTTTAAACAGTTTTTCCGTGTAATTCTACAACTGACTGTTCATCAGCCGAAGTGTGTGAAGTGAAATGTGCGTGTTTTTATCATACAAACAAAACAGATAGATTAGATGTGTAGCCGTGCTCAAAAACTTCTCAGGGTCCCTTGAAGTTTAATTTTCAGATGTTCTCCTGCAGATGTGGTGTATCACACGTGGAGGACAGAGGAGGACGGTAACCAGTCAAAAGAGATCATGTACACCATCGCCCTGAACAATCCCCTGGCTCCAAAGACAGCCACGGTCACTGAGACACAGGTGAGGACTGAGGAGCAGCCTATAGTCCCTGAAGGTCTCACTTGAATGGTTTATTCATTGTGAAAATGTGTGCTGTGTGAGTTCAGACTCTGTACAAGGCCAGCCAGGAGAACGAGTGCTACATCATCGATGCAGAGGTGATCGCCCACGATGTTCCCTACCACGACTACTTCTACACCCTCAACCGCTACATGCTCACCAGAGTAGCCAAGAACAGGTGTCGTCTTAGGTACGGAAATGATTTACTCTCATATGTGTTCCACGACAAAGAGAAGTGTGCTTCCCTCAAGGGCCAAGTGCTGAGTTAATGCATTACAACAAAACTAAAGCACTTTCACTGTGATCCATTTCAGGTGAATATTTTAGAACACGCAGAAATGCTATAATAAATATATGTGTGTGTCTCCTGCAGGGTGTCAACAGAGCTTCGGTACAGGAAGCACCCATGGGGGCTTGTCAAGGGCTTCATTGAGAGGAACTTCTGGAGTGGCCTGAATGAGTACTTCAGACACTTAGGTTAGCACAACACAAACAAGATTTTACAAATATCTCTGGTCTTTTTGAACCTTCGTCTTATCCCTTTGTATTGTGTTTGTGGTTAACACTGTTGCTTACTGTATAGTAAGTATATTTTGGTCAATTTGGCTTTTTTCTTTAAGCTGATTTTAAGGACATTTTTGTTATAAACCCATAGAACAGCTGTGAGAGAGAGCTATCAAGGTGTTTGACAGAAAGCCTTATTCATACCACCACTGCACCATCCTTGAGAAACACCATTTCTTGAGTTTTGACAATTTTAAGTCTTTTAAAAGTATGTGTTTTTTTTATAAATGTTTACATGGACTGGCCCCCCCCCCCCTCCCTTAGGGGAATTCATCCACAGAAAACACACTGGACGCTACACTAGGACAGAAACAAGAGGAGACTGTGAGGTCCACCGCAGACGGACCACTTTTGGACAAAATGTCCTCTCCATTAAAGGCAGCTCTTTGTGGAATAGCCTCCCAACTGAGATACGGGATTGTCCCACTCTCAATAGTTATAAAGGTCAACTCAAAGAATGGTTGAGAAACAAACAGACGTGCAATCACCGCTAAATGTACTTTAACACAGGGGCATCTCCTCTTGCCCTTTATGCATCTCTTGTATCATCTCTTGCACTTTATATGTCGTTGCTGCTATATTGTATGACCATGTGATAAATACTTGTGTGTGCTGCTCTTGCTCTTTTGCACTTTTTGCATATCATGTATTTTGTTTTTGCTATGTTTGTAAAATGTAAACTTCTTAAATGTTTTATGTGAGGGACTGCGGATGGAAATGAGCTCAAAGCTAAATCTGGCACTGTTACGCTTGATACATTTGTAATGTTCATTACTGTGCACTGTAAATAAATAAATAGAAAGTAGATATTAGCTAGCTAGTTCGATGTTTGAATGTGAAAGAGCTACAGAGTATGGGGAAGGGAAGAGTAAAATGTTTTGGCATGTCGATTTTTATGATTGTGTAAAGTTGACAAAAGTCATAATGATTCATCTGATTGTGATTGAGTTTAAGTCATGTGACTCAAGTCAAATTGCAGCTTATTTTGCCAGAAGAAATGGTCAAACCGTTTACTAAATGAAGATGGAATAAAAAACTGAACCAAATACCGACTCTCACTGAAACCTTAACCTCTCATTCTCTCTCTGGTGTATTTCTTCTAGAGTTGGCGCTGAGTAAGCTGGATGTGATGTTGATGGAGCCTCACAGACAGTCACCTAAAACCAAGGCTCTGAGGATGTGTACCAGCCGCCGGAGGAAACGGATACTAGTCCATCACCTCAGAGCTCCGGGGAACATGGACAAGGCTTTGAGCCCTGTCAGCACTCCTGAGAACGAGGAGGACGAAGACATCCACCTCACCAAACACGTGGCAGGCCAGCCCTTCAGAGGCCACCAGCTGATCTGTGGTCAGTGAAGCACTGTAGAACTGACATGACAAGATAAGAAATGTGGCCTCCTTGTGCATTTCAGAGAAAAAAGTCTACACATAACAATCTTTAAAGATGTTTGAGATTCTGTCACAATTCATTTATTTCTGTTCTTTTTTGTATTCTCCGGTAGGTTCCACACAGACCAGACACATACCTGACTCTCCAGGTGGTTTTGCACTCTACAACTTCTCCAAACTCCTGCTTCTCATCGGCCTTGTGTGAGTTACAGTATTTATTGTATATTGTCCCTGTTTGGTGACAGACAAATGTTTCATAACATACTGTACGACCGACAGACAACTCCAACTGCAATCATCTCCAAAATAAATGTTTTCCATTTACTGATCAATAAATGCTTTTACGATTAAGACTGCAATCACTTTTCTGTCCCCTGTTTGGACTAAATGCCCTTCCAATTGTTTTGTGTAAGCATACAAAAGCAGAAAGTCATGTTTGCTTGATTAAATACTTGAATGAGTGGTTGATTATCTGAATGTATGTCAATGAATTGTCTGTCACTTGGCAGAATGTTACTTCCACTAAGACAAAGCCAATTTCTTATCAGGGTTGACATTTGCATTCTATCACATCTCATGGTAAGTGTAATAATCTACCAGGAATATTTGAGGATGTTCTCTGTCTTTCTTCTTTATTTTTGTTTTGTTTCAATCTTTTGTAATCCCCCTGTTCTCTCTGTTCTTGTCTTTAATTGCATCCCATAGGATCTCTATAAGGTATTTTTATTCCTGCCATGGCCCTGATTCCTTTCAGTAAATGGCATGTGATGTGGAAGATGAGGCTCTGTTTTACAGTCTGTGTTTTCTCTCCTTCTCTCTGTGTAGCCTGGTACTGCTGGTGGTTCTCAACGTCATGCTGTTCTACAAGCTGTGGATGCTGGAGTACACCACTCAGAGACTCGCTGCATCGCAGGGACTGAGACCTGATGAAAGGTAAAGATGGACATAGGGAAAGGAATCACTTGTTCTGGTTATGCAGGTGTGTGCATTATTCTGTTGCTTCAGATCCTTGGAATGCAAAGCGACATACATACACACCAGCATCAAATCTCAGAGAGTCTTCAGCCTGCTCATACAGTAAATGCTGGGAGGGTGTCACCCCCCCGAACACAGACTTGGAGCTGGTTCCACGGAACAGGAGCTTGATAGCTGAATGCTCTTGTACTTTTGGAGACTCTATGAACAACAAGGAACAATGCATTCTGTGATCACAGTGCTCTATAGCAGTGATTCTCAAAACACCTTTAGCTGTTGTTCTGATCAAAAGTCGTGTTCAATGGCATTAAAATGAGAAAAACGCTGCTGAAGGTTAATCCATAGGTTAATCCAATGTGTCTGTCACTTTGAAAAAATTATTGATAATCCATAATTATGCGTCACTCTCACTCCTTATTTGGTAACCTGTGTGTGTATGTGGAACCTCCCCTCGATTCCATTGGCTCTAGCGGTTAAAAAGAGATGTCAATCATCAAAATCAACCAATGGGGGCCAGAGATAGGTCAAATCCACCCAAATGACCCCAGAAGTGGGCTTTCTTTGCTAAATCTCTCTAAAAAGGTCAAATTTAACTTGTTTTGCATCAATCTTGATACAGGGTACTTATTATATGTTATAGTTTGGATTCCTAAGGCTTTTAGTCGACCATCCCGTTTTTTTTTGGACGGACACTATAATTTACATTTTTTACATGTTCAATCTGAATTTACTTTAAAATTAAAAAAATCTATATTGATTCTGACTCTTCTACATCCAACTCACAGGTTTATCATTGCTTTGAGAAAAAAGATTATTAATTTTCCCCTTTTAGAAGTGTAGTTATGGTCATTTGTTCTGGGAATGTCATTTTCGAGCCTGAGACCTGGAAAACAGGCTCAGGGCTTAAGAGGTAAAGTCCAGATTTCTGTGTGTCTCATTCCTAATCTTTGTTTGATTCCATCTGATAAAATGATAGATTTTCTTATACAGAGTCCAGCCAAGTCCATCTTTACGGTCAACACTTTTCTACCTGTGTCTCACCAGCGGAGCTCCGGACACCCAGCTGGAATGGGTGCAGCTCACGGACTCCCAGCAGCGCTACGATAAAGAGGATCTCCAGAAGTGGAAGGAGATAATCAGATCCTCAGTGGTGCAGCTCGATAAGGTGAGAGAGCAGGTCAAACTAAAATACTGCACCATAAAAAAGAAAACGTCCCCAGGATAATACAACAACAAAACCCTTAGTTATTGCTAGCTTGTTCAGAGATGTTGAAGTGGGGTTTCATGAGGTACGTATCCATTACAGTCCCTGCAGTCAGCATGTCCACAGTTTGGAAAAACAGAGATTGAGCTGTGCAATGTACTGAAGTGTACATATTTGAACCACCTTACAAATGTCTCACCCAAAATAAATCTATATAGGTCTAATTGTATGATTTATTTAAAATATTTTCACAGCCACTGTTCATCCATTTATGCACTCACCAAAGCTACCAGACTCCTTTGACAACAATAACAATTTGACCTTGCAGAACACGTCAGTTTTGCCAAACTCACCCTCTAAAACAGTGATTCTCAAATGGGGGTACGCGGACCCCTAGGGGTACGTTGGGGTACTGCAGGGGGTACGTGAGATAAAAATGAATAAAAAGGTTAATTAAAAAAATACCATGCATGATTGCAAAAATAATCATAGTACAATAAGTCAACACAACTTTATATAAAATATTCCTAGAACCACCAAGGGTTCAAGATCTGTTCTTGTGCATTTCTGGTGCTTAACTGGTCCTTCTCTGTTTTTACAAGTGTGTGGTCACGTTCTAGTCACTTTGCTCAGCGCTACTGCTTGTTAAACAAAATGCTGTCAATATCAGGAGGCGTATGCTTTGATGGGATTCACGTCAACAAACGGCAACCCGCCCCAGGCATTGTGTTTTTTCTGTGGGGAGAAACTAGCCAACAGCTCGATGAAACCAGCGCACCTCCAGAGACATCTCAGCACCAAACACCTGTGTCATGTTGGTAAGCCACCGGAGTTTTTCAAGAGAAAACTTGCTGAGTACAGATCCTCGCAAGAGATGATGCGAAAAGCCTCCACAACATCAGCCAAAGCACTGGAGGCCTCGTATGCGGTGTCTCTTCTCATCGCTAAAGCCAAAAAGCCGTACACGATCGCTAACGACCTACAACTCCTAAATAGTGTTATTGCAGTGTTATTACATAGTTTGTTTATAATTGCACATTTTTTCAGTTACAACGTTGTTGTTTTTTAACCCTTTCATGCATTGTGGTCACTACATTAGAGACTGCTAATTTAATGCTGTTTTCTTGTATATCCATGGGGTTTCGGTTGGTATAGTTGCACATCAGGCACCACAGTGGATTTTATTATAATATTTGTGTATTATATTTTATAGTTTTTGCATAATATATCATTTTGTTCATTGGTTTGTTAAACATATATTACTTAAAAATCTGTTTAAACGTCTCATGCATAAAGATGAAAATATCCTTAGTTTGTTGTAATTCATGCATGAAGGAGTTAATACATCACACACTGATGGAACATCACTATATTGTAATTATTTGTATAGGCTTTTTCTATCAAAAATGTTCGGGGTCGGTCAGGGGGTACTTGGCTGAGCGGTCCAGACCAGCAGAATGACTATTGTGTAAATAGTTGGCCTTTATTTTGGGATATAAAATATTTTGCTCATGCCCCCATACACAGCATTGCAATGTGTTGCCCCCCTGCCCATACCCCTGGCACGAGTGTGCCCAAAATAGTACAAAAAATATACAACCACAATTCTAAAATTCAAAACTATGCCTAGAATGTTTTTTGTAGAAAAGTTATGTTTTGGTTTGAGTACAAATAACTTCACTTAAGATATCCTCTAAATGCTAAACATTATAAATAAAATAAGTGTACAGCAGTGTAGTATTTTGATGAACAGAGGCTGAGTCGCTCACCAGCCAGCTGTTCATTTATGGAGTGGAAGACTGAAGCAGAGCTCTGTTTCCATCAGCCATAAACAGAAGATCAGAAGGAAGTTATCTCTCCTTCTCTCCCTCCATCAAAGCTCTTTACTCCAGAAACAATGTTTAGAGACAGAGACATTTGACTGGAGACTACTGTAGCTCCAGCCCTTTATTTACAACATATGAGGTTAAGCTGCTTCAGTTATCTGTCTCAGGCGCGTCCTACAGAACAGATACCCTGCTGGTACAATTCATCCAGCAACAGATGTAGTTGCAATAATATTTGGCCACATTCAGTTTTTTGCAGGATGTGACATACCTATTATATCAAAATGTTTAGTTGCTGTTGTCACTTCCTATATTTCCAAATGTGTCCATTCTCGTGTGGATTGTACACTGAAAAAACGGAAACGTGGACCTTAATTAAATGTTTTATGTCAATAAATTACACATAATTGTATAAGGTTAGTTGAAACATCCTCTTTTTTATTTCAATGTATCAGTAATGTAATGTCTCAGTTCTTCAGTTTTTTTATATTCAGATTTTCTGACTCATTTTCTCCTGCCTTTTCATCCAGATAAAAGACTCCCTTCTTCATCTCCATAAAAGCATTGGCCTCAAGGACCACCCGCCACACCCTGAGTCTGAAAAAAGGAGAACCCAGAATAACTGATCGATAACGTCAAGGCATGCGGACATGATGTGCAATATTCATCCTACCTTTCTGAGCCCATGGAGGGAAGGTGGCCTTCAAAAGGCCCTGCTGGGTGTTCAGTCCGAGCTGCACCCCGCTCAAGTGACCTCATCAGACCTGCGGGAGATGAGATGGGATTACACACTGCTGTGTCTCCTGAAGAGAGACAACATCTTTGGCAGGATTTGTCTGCAGCTTACCTTCCATCTTGATCATCCACATTCCTTCTCTCCACACGATGCTGCATCAAAACCTTTTGTTTTTTGTTCACATCCAGACAAAGATCAGACTGACCCAAAGCATGCAACTTCTTCTCACTTCCGGTGCTTTGCCAATTGAGAATCCATATTGGAATTATATATGCATTCGCTTTGAGAGGTGCAAAAACACATAGACATTTTCCTACCCTTCAAGGATCTCAAACAGCTGCTGTATCTCTTTGTGTTACACCTTGAGAAACATGATGAGAGACGTTAACTAATCCACAGCCTGCAGTATCAAAACTACACTGGAAAACCTGACACTTCAATGAAATGTATTATATCAACAGATTTCACATAACTGTATTAGGTTAGTTGAAAGCACTAATATTAAGTTTAAATAACAAATATTAGGTTCAACTTAATATTAATATCTTTCATCTAACCTAATAAAGTTATGTGTAATCTGTTGACATAATACATTTCATTAAATTCAACGTTTCAGTTTCTTCAGTGTACACGGAATCAAAATGTAACCTCATACATTTGTGTGTGTGCGTGTGCGTGGATGTGTGTGTGTGTGTGTGTGTCAGATTATTTTGTAGTCAGGGATATTTTTACTGGGCATGCTGGGCAGATCAGGGCTGGTTCCCTGAGAGCTCATGCCATACTTTGTGATTTTATTTTATTTCGTATGTTTATGTGACTTTTATGGCATGCAGTATTCTGAGCTGTCGCTGGAGCATCGCTCTGCTAGCTGAGTGACGTGGTAATGCAGAGGGTTGCAAGCAGAGAGAATTCATGGAAAGAAAGCAGGGACTCTGAGGTCAGGGTGGCACAGCTCCTACTTTCCTAATGCGTTGCCAAGGAAACAAAGAAATGTTTTGTTCACAGCCAACCATTAATGTCATTCCAGTGTTTAAACGATTTACTCCGACACATCTCACTGCTTCTTCACTGCCAAGGCTCACACGTCAACATTTGATCCTATTAAGGATAGTCACCGTTGTATAAGCCATGTCTGGGTGTTGCATCCATTCATATGTGATTGTAAGGCAAGGCAAGTTTATTTATATAGCACCTTTCAACACAAGGCAATTCAAAGTGTCATTGATCTGTACTGTGGGTCTTAGTCATGAAGCAGACTGAATGTGAGATGCAGTGACATGAAATGCACTGTTCTTTATTTGCTTCAGTTGTCATTTATGCTGGGTGTTTTGATTGACAAACATTTCTCAGTGGCAGAGATGATCTATAACAGAAATGATCTCAATGAATCCAGCAACAGGCCCACATGTAGTTGTTCAGTTTGAATTAAGAAATGCCCATAGTGGCCTGCAATGAAAACACATAATACATTTCATTGAACCTTTTTTTGATATCAAGGAAACTTAGATATAAGCTATATCCTCTCTCCTTGACTTTGGTTTTCTTTAGTTTTCAAGGAACATTTGGCTCTAATTGTTGATATTGACCTCCCAGTGGTTTCTGCCTCTGAGGAATGTTAGTCTAACTCAACAGGACGCTGTTTATCCTCAGTGTTCATATTATTTTTGAGAAAATGTGTTCATGTCCCAGTTGGAAGACTCGTTTCAGAAATGTAATTAGTCACTGCAGCTATAACAATTTGTCTGATGATATATTCATGAATTGATTGATTAATCACACCCTTGACCGCACTGTCTGGGAACAGTGTAATATGTGTGATGTCTTGCAAGACTTCCATGCCTTTATTTTTATAATACTGGTCCAAAGTGTTTTATGACTCAAGGATGAACGCCAAACTCTTCAAATGTATGACAGATCTAATGGAAAACAACATTTACTTTTGGTTTAAAATGTCAAATGTGAAGGTTGATATACAAGGAAAGCTCTTTCAGATGTTTGCTTTGTGCATTATTGAGTGATCGATGGAGAGAAAATAGTGAACGTATTATTTAAATGTCTTTTTATATCATTGGGGTTTGGTGAAATGAAAAAAGGGAAATAGGTGCACCTCAAAACTTCTTTCATATTCTATCATGCTATGCACTAACACAATCATCTTCCCAGCAGCCTTGACATGAATAACTATAGGGACGTTTTTGCTGGATAAAGATGTAGATTCTTCAAGCCCTTCCACAAAATATACTGTAGTACAAATATATCTGTACATCTACAGTATGTGGGTTTGTTTCTACAAGATAAGACAATACATAAATCAGGACCATCAGGTGCATAAAGGACGATCGTTCTTAACAGATCGAACAGGTCAACTACAAATAGAGTACAGTTACGGTATGAATTCGTTTTGGGCAAATATTCAGATACAAGTGCAAACTTTTATTTTCATTTTTGAATCTTATGAAACAAACATACATGATGAATTCCCTATTTTCTCTCCATGTCGTTTGACACTGCAAATGTAAGACTGTTAAATTAAGAGGTGCAATTTGATAACCTTATTTACTCCAAAGCCATGTTTAAAACAGTTCAAATGCACATGTTGAGATGATGTCATTTCACTTGAAATCATGACTTGTTAATGGAATATCTTGTAAAATACCACCGAAGTCACGTGGCTCCTCTACTGTATATACAATGCATGGCTATTCTATTAATGCTAGCGATTAAGATCATGTTGAACTCCATGCATCGACACTAGAGCTTTCAGTTGAGCGCATGTAAACACTGGAGATGAGCCTGAAGAGTAGACACCCTGAGGTTTAATCACCAAGCGTCAGTCACAGTGAGGCCCATATGTGATATGTGACAAGTCTGTTTGTGCAATCAACAACATCAATGAAAATGAACCAGCTGACATCAAAATGGAACTTATAAACGAAGATGGTTTGATTGGATATATTTCTTAAAGGAGCAGTGTAGCATTAGGGGGATCTCTTGGCAGCCATATATTATAGTATTCATGATCATGTTTTTTTAAGAGTTTAATCATGTGTTTTCTATGCTCTGTAATGTTTCTGTTTGCTGTATGGGGATCTAGTTGGCTGCACTCTGCAAACTGGCCACTAGATGTCACTAAAACCTACACACTGAACCTTTAGAGTCGAGTTTCCATGACATCACAGAATGCACCCTCAACTTTCAGCACTCCATACCTATGCTCCATACACACACACACACACACACACACACGCGCGCGCGCGCGCGCGCGCACACACACACACACACACACGCACACACAGCTGCAGTATCTCTTCATCCTGCCTTCAGTCATCTCACTTGGTTGTAAAGCGTTGTGTTCTCCTGTGTGTGCTTACAATATCTGACCTGTCGTCTGAAACCTATTTTGATCTGCATATATGAACAAAAAGTATTTATACAGATATAATAATGTAATGCATATTGTTGTGTAGAGTTATAGTACATATTATAAGGGCTCAAACTACGCTGGCAGTGGTTTGAGGATAAAAAAAAAGTTATTTTAAGGGAAAAAAAGTGATTCAAGACAGAGGAATGAATAAAAGTGCAAAACAATTCATGGATCAAGTGTGATTCTTTTCATTCGGTGATGTCAGATTTTGCTTTTAATACTAGAGCACTTACCTTTGACAAGGTTCTGAAATTGAACATGTTTAATTGATTATTAATAGTGTACAGATGTCCCATTACATATAACATATTTGAGCTGTTCACACTCATAACCTATAGGTGGCATGCTTAGCTCTAAATATTCTTCTGTACAGAAAGTCTTTCCAAAGCTTAGGAAAAGATGACGATGCTGGTCACTGTTGTAAAGGAATCATCTACCACAGGAAAAGGGGTAATGTGTATTTATTGAAAGTACAAAGTGTACTATAAACATAATATCTACAGTATATTCTGTAACTGCAGTATATCCATCAGTGCTGCACGATAGATAGAGGCACTGACTAATATTGACAACATCTTATCCCAAACTATATCTTTGATACTTAAATTGTATTGTAGTGACAATTGCTATAATCTCAGTAATAACTCAAACACACCACTGTGTGTGCCCTTACTCACAATATCAAATTATTGGGGGAGGTTATGTTGTTATTTCCTTTTATATTTCAGATTTGTATTTCATTGTGCTTTCCATTTGCAATCAGAGCATGGAGTGCCCTCAGCAGATAGTGTGTGTGTGTGTGTGTGTGTGTGTGTGTGTGTGTGTGTGTGTGTGTGTGTGTGTGTGTGTGTGTGTGTGTGTGTGTGTGTGTGTGTGTGTGTGTGTGTGTGTGTGGTGTGTGTGTGTGTGTGTGTGTGTGTGGTGTGTGTGTGTGTGTGTGTGTGTGTGTGTGTGTGTGTGTGTGTGTGTCATGCCTTCAGACTCCACCAACAGCTGTCCGAGTGAGCCTGCACAACAGAGACAGGGGTGAAGTCAGTTTGAGGTTGTAGATCCAACAGACTTAGCATGTTTGGCAGTGGGGTGAAAGTGACCAACCTGTATTACTGTTTAAATAGCACAAAACCAGTGTTTTATTTTTGAATACTTTATGCTCAAATCCTAATAAGTTTAATTGGTATTATCTATCCCACTTTTTTGATCAAAAAAGGGTAATTCATTGTTTTAAGATAAATATTTTATCGGCAAACAATGGGTGTTTAGAAATATTGCATGCATGGACCCAGTGGCGTTTATATATGTACAAAAGTGGTGGGGCACGAACAACTTAGATGTTTAGTGTGGCGCTGCTAGTATGAGTTTGCGCTGTGGAAGATTCCCATGTCGGCTAACTTTACCGAACAACGCTCATACATTTTGCAGTTGGAAACTGCCTTCAGTAGAAGCTGCTGGGTCCCATCCTCCGAGTAAATCGCCAGAAGCGCCGACACATCCTCATCACTCCACCTCTCCGATGATTTTCTTATTCTTATTGTTGCCATAACTTCACAAAAGTACTCTTTCCGTTGGTGCGCTGGGCTAATAATGCGAGGATAATAAAATGGCGGCTTAACAAAACTTTTTGGGAGTTTTACGGGGCGTGGTTTGCATTCCGCCCAGCCAATCAGACATAGGAACCTTTTTCTCCCACGAAAGTACCAGGGACGGAAAAGGGGTAAAAAAGGTTCTGATGAACAAATTTTAGTTCCGGCTCTTTTTGGTGTGAACGCGACATTTCGGAACTATCGCGGAACTAAAGTGGGAAAAGTACTGCGGTGTGAACGCGACTATGGAATACAAAAAGACTCTGAGCATGCGCAGTGTAGTTTTTACAGCACCCATTCATTTTGACAGCACCCATTCATTTTGACAGCGAGAGAGGGGCTAGATCGGGGCTTTCCCCACATCGCTCAACACGGTTCAATAGGCACACACACAAGAACGCAGACTAAAACAGCAATGTACAGACGAATCAGATGACTAAACATGATCTTAAAATATATTTTAAGATGTATATTTTTTGGATATTTTTGGAATTATTATTTTAATTACTTTCTGCTGACACTAGGTGGGGCCCAATGACGAGTCGCCACTGCATGGACCACACATGCCACAACTCTTCTTAATGATTGTTACTGCTTGCCCAGTTTTATACAAATATTTTAATTAAAAATGTCTATACATTTTGTATATCTTTTCAATAACTTGTGAGCCAATTTTTGTGTACTTTTAATAACATGTTATGAGAGGGGCACATTTCATGTAGAACAAGAGAGACAAAGACAGTGTTCAACATTTCAAAAATGTTTAGTATTGCATAAAGTCATTGCACACACAAAGATCATAAAATAACATTATTGTTTTTTAATAACAGAGTTTGTGTCAATGACTTAGTCACAATTTTAGTTTAGTTACTTACTTTGCCATTAACCTTAATGCAGTTTGGGGTAATAAATACGTAATTTATGCAGCCAAACATTGTTTTTTATTTGTATTTCTTAATATTTGTTGTTGGTATTTGTTTTGGTAACAGAAGTTGTTTCAGTAACTTAGTTTCAATTTATTTAATTACACTACTGAAAAACGGGGGGCCACAGGGGGGGTCCAAGCACAGTGTTACAGGGGCACAGGCCCCTTGTCTCCCCCCCCCCCTAGAAGCGCCCATGTAACTGAGGGGAAACTGCCGCTGCTGGGTGCAGCGTAACTGTCTGTCGGATATCCAACTTCAAACTAACTTCACTGTGCTTCAGCGTAGCTCAGACTTGAGGAGGAGAACGGGTCCGAGTCTCCAGCGGTGAGTCCAGCCGCTGAACGCCCAGCGCTGCAGCTCCACTGCGGGATCCGGAGAGCTAGAAGAGTGAAGGACTTCAGAGGGTCTATTTAGCCTCCCTTTGTTGGGAAAAAGTTAGAGTAAAACTGGAGGGGAGGATGTCTTCACAGAAGCTACCGGGCTCTTTTGGAGTCCTGTTCCCAGGATACTCTCTGCCGATGAAAGCAGAGCGCAGTCGGAATAAGGAGAGGCTGGAGGCCAGTCTGGCCGGTTTGTGTGAGCTGGAGCTCCTCAAACAGAGGCAGGAATGCCGGGTGCTCAGCGCTCTCTGCCTCGGGGACTCTCCGGTTCCCGGGCGTCCGCCTTGGGGAGCCCTGCGGTCGGCACGCTGCGCCCTGGACGCACCGAGCGGCAGCGCGTCGGAGGACCTCAGCCTCCAAACTGTGAGTAACTGTGAAATGATGCTGTTTTAGATTGCATGGGCTGTAAAGGAGATCCTGCTTTCTGCTGGAGTAAAGGGCAGTTTGGTGTGCATCCTTATGCAAAGTTGACTAAATTGTAGGTTTGTTTGTCGTGCGCAATGGCAGCAGTTTCGAAAACTTTGCATATGAAGGGCACCGAAACAGGATCCTGAAATGATTAGAGACACTCAGCCTGATAAGGTTCGGTCTTATCAGCAGGGTTTGTTGTCATGTGTGACCTGGCCCGTGCCGTGTGTCTGCTGCAGACACAGATCCGGGTATTGGGGAGGGCTGGCATATGGGTTATTTTGTATAATTACTTTATATGCTGACTTTTTAGGATTACATTTGTCATGTCTTTGTTACATGTTTCTTATCTGAGTCTCTTCTTGGAACACTGGAGGTCCCTGGACCTTCTTATGGTACATTAACAATTGAATTAGATTAACAAGCACTGAGAGTATTGGGAACATTAGAAGAAAAGAAAATCCTCCTGGCTGTCATTGACCTCAGTGTGCAAATATGAAGCCATGTCAGGAGGGCCCCTGAAGTCACACTCAACATTACCATTTAAGGGAAAACCTGGGGATAGGCTCATTACCTTATCCATTCCATGCTGAAGACAATGGATTATCCAGACATGTATATCCCCTGAGTTTGGATAAATAATGCTGTAACAGTTGAGGTCATTACTTTCTACAGACTGCCTCACTCCTCCGGATTTGTTCTAGTTCTATCCAACTTCTTGGAACTCTTTGAAATGAATTCAAAAACCAGCATCAGCGTTTTTAGATTAACTGTTACTTACTATTGGCTAGAAGTTTTATATGGCAGTTACTTTAGCCAAAGAGTCTATTTTGCATCTGCTTAATGTTCTTACCAGATGATGCTTCGGAATATAAACGACATGCCTCAGGATACAACAGTTTGGATTTTCTAGCATTTGCCAAATGTAATGCACATTGTTGCAAAAATTGCAAACTATCAGAATAATAGACACTAAAGCAGATACAAACTGTAACGCTGTAGAAAACACTGTCTTATTATTGTTTTATTATATTATACTTGCATACAGGAAACTTTTGTGAGAATGTCACAGCGTTAGCATTTTTTACATTTTAAAGAGCTGTGATATTTCCTCTTGGGATCTGTACCTGAATTTGTGTGGAATTTTCAGCTGTTTCTGAAATTAACTAACTTGTGTAAAAGACCAGCAGATGCTGTTATAATAATAATAATAAATGGGAATTGTATAGCGCTTTTCCTAATGCTCTAGACGCTTGACATAAAATCATCTAAGATATCTCCAGTTTCCTCTGAGGCCAGCGAGCCTGCACTATATCAGCTCTGTGCAGCAGTGAGACAAAAGTGTTCTTGAACAGGGATGCAGCAGATAAGTGGATGAACTGAACAGGCTACATGAAACAAGACGGATTTTGTCTGGCTCTTGACAAAGAAATATTTTAAGTATCACAAGTGCACCATCATGTGTTTTACAGAGATTTGGACATGACCCAGCTCTCCGATTGCTCAGTTACAGCAAACAGTTCTCAAAAAAATAGAAACAACACTGTAGAGGAGAAAAAGGAGCCAGATGCTGTGTTACCACCAGAACCATTTTAGGACTTTATCCATGTAGAGAATTTGAAGGAAAAAACCCCAACCATATTAGCAAATCTAGTAGTCCTGTAAGTAATGGAAGACATTTTAACACTGAGATTAAAGTGCAGTGGTTTGGTCCAGAAAAAGAGGGCTTCTGAGTAATTGACCTTCTCACATCTATCTTTTCCAGACTTTTACTCAGACCATTGTTTAATTCCTAAACTGTGACACAGGATATCTGATTCAGTGTTATTAAGACTGTCTGCACATCTGCTGGCTTTCCAACTGTTAGCTGAAGGAAACTAAAAATGGAAGGCATTCCTTCTGTGAGGTCTTCAGGATCCCACCAGTGTTTGGACTATACATTAACTTGAATCTGATAAGGGTTCCAGTTGCAACATTTTTCATGGCTATAACTTCTTTAAAAGATAAACAAATCCGAAAGGCATAAGCAGAAAACAGCTCAAGCACGGGATTGACCACGAAACAACAATCAACTGAATATTTGTTTAGAGACACAAGTACTTCTTCCCAAAATACCAACGTTTTGTCAGGACCCTTTAGGTTCAGGCAACACATCTACTTGGTCAGTTTACAAAAATATCAAGATTTGGGAAAGTCGGTTTTAGTGTTCGGGTTACTTTACTTAGGTTCATAATTAAAATCAGTTCAACGTTGAGTCTTGGGTTCACATGGGACACAGACTGGGGTCTCCTGGGTGAAAGTCCTGTGTTTGTTGACCCATCAATCCCTTTGCTGATGGAGTGAATAGCGGGCCAGAGCAGTTTCTCTGTTCAGCTGATATTGCTGCTGGTAGATTTCTATTGGAGTGAGGTTTGTCTCAAAGAGATGCTAACCAGGGGCGGCGGGTACTGTAGGCTAGGGAAGGCTAAGCCTTCCCAAATATTTGTGTCACATGCATCCTGGTAAAATAAATATATAATGTATAATGTTTGTGTCTTTGACATTAGCGCTGCTATGCAGCCACCTGTGCCCTGTGCACTACGAAGCCAGTTCAGCATACCCTGGATATGTTTGAGTTATCTTAACTAACCCTAACAAACGAGATCTCGCTAAGCGGTCCTACGACGCTGGTTATCAACTCGGTAAATCAAGCCAGGGTTTCTCTCTCCAGCTGAGAGCGCGTTCACGTGAAAGGGGCGGGGTTAGCTATATTTGACCAATCACAAACAGGGACAAGTGTACTGACAGCGCAGCGTCATACTTCATTAATGAAAAGTAAACTAATATTAGACAAATATGAACTTTAAACATCCATGATTTAAACATATAATCCCGGATACAAGCCACATAGTTGCACCTGCAAGGTGAATATAGAACAACTGGTTAAAAAATAAATAAACGATACCGAGTGTTTGAAAGTGTACAACAGTTTTATGATATCACTGCCCCGTCTAAGACACGAATGGATCTGACTTTAATTACATTTGACTTGAGTGTTTCGTCAACTTAATGTGTTGCTTAAAATAATACTTCTGCATACAGTATGTGACAATGTAAGTGTTGCACGGCCAGATACAGCTCAAGAAGCTGACTCAGATAAGGAAATATATGATATATTATGATATTATATGATCGATGATCTGATTGATGATGTGATATGATATGAATGATAAGTGCAACACGTCGGCGTCTTCTCTGCATACGGCAGTTTAAACTGTATTTCCTTTATCCTGTAATATGACTTGATAGATTTAAACTCTGCACACTGAGCTCTGATTGGTCAGCAGGCGGTGCTTTCATTGAGTTGATCTCTTTTCTATAGAGTGGCGAAGTCCCTCCCTTTCCGGTGGACCTCCATGGGACCTTATTTCGGAAAAATTATGTATTGAAGTCAATGGAGAGAGAAAGATTATCTTTCGATCCCGTTTGAATTGTGCCACGAATTACACATATGATGTTTGTCAATTTAAAAGATAATTTTGCAAGTCAAAAAAATATATATATGTCGTAAAACTGTGAAGTAACACATTTGTTTGTGTGAAACGCTCAATGAACTACATCTCCGGTCTCGCACAATAACACACATTTGTGCAGATAGCATGAAGTGCAAAAGATCGCAGATGCTAATGTAGCGTTAGCGTTAGCCTTTCTCCCCTGGGCTTAAATGGTGTATTATAGAATGATCACACCGGTGTGACAGTACTCTTCAGGGTTCACGAAATATGACTACTACTCTTACTGTTTAACATTTTGGGTTACTTAATGTTACTTCATGTTAAGGCTAATCAAAATGATAAGGCTGTAATGCTAACTAACGTGCTAGCTACTAGCTATGTAGCTAAATTGATCAAGCCACTCCTGGTCCTTTCATCAGACGGGAAGCAAAAGAACGAGCAAGACCCATTGCTGGTATAATAACAACCTGGTACTAAGCACACAGGCATCTTGTTAAAGTTATCTTATCTTAGAATCTATCTATATGGCGCTGATCTTAGCTATCTCTTAGTGGAGGAAAACAATTGTGACATCACTTACGCAACTCTGGGATTTGTAGTCTTTCTAGTTGCGTATTTTTCATAGTCTTATATTTCAACAGTTTTACGACAAACTGTGACTTTTTTGACATGGAAATGATTTTTTAAGATTGACAAACATCATATGTGTAATTCATGGCACAATTCAAATGGGATCGAAAGATAAGTTTTCTCTCCCCATTGACTTCAATGCATAATTTTTCCGAAATAAGGTCCCATACCCCGGAAGTAAGTGGGAGGGACTTCGCCACTCTATAGACGCCGGAGGCGGGCAGCGTCAGGTTAAAAAAAGTTATTTAGCCTTCCCAAACCTGAGACTCACGCGCCGCCTATGATGCTAACGGTTCATGACTCATGTCGGTATTTGTTGACAATGATTCGTAACACAGACACATTACATTTCAGAACATTTGAGTACTTTTTGGTTCCAGACTTTTTACTGTTACAGGCGTTGATCTCATCTTGCATTATATGTAATGCTCATCAGGTTAGGGTTACTGACATCACAATTTTCCAGAGAGAGTTGAATATGAAGAAAACATTCAGTCAGTCCTTAAATAGAGCCAGACAAGCGTGATACAATAAACATGCACAACTTTCAAAGTGAAGTTGAAAGAAAAGTTCAACATTTTTGTGGCAACCGTTATTTATAATCTAACAAACAGAGGTTTAATCCAGTGGTGTTCATCACATTTTAAATGTTTTATTGAAGCTCTATTGACACCAGTTACAAATGTCTATAAAGATATTTGAGATTAGAACAGTTCCAGGCTACAGTGAACATTTTCGGCTATTATTCAGTTGTTGCCACTTTAAATTCATAGCTGGTAAATTAATCTTTTATCTGAAAACCACACAAAATCTTTGGTGTTTACACATACC